ATAGAAATAAGATAGAAGATTTAAATCGAAAGATATCAGTAATTACAATAAGGGTAATGTTCCATTCCAAAGAAAATAAGATTAGATTTTTTCAATTTAACAACATGATATTTACAAGAGATAAATTTAGACCACAATGTTATACAAAGTGGTAATAAGATGATTTTTTTTAAAAAAGGCGTACCATGACAATGCTAGCTAGAAGAAAGGTGAGGTAACTCTGGTAACACTGTCTAACAAGGCAGTCATATAATGAAAAAGGATTCAATTAACTGGAAATATATAATAATTCTAAATTTTGTAAAACAAGGCAAAGTTTGGCAGCATTATAGGAAAAACAAGTCTAAAACTTTTCAGTTATTGACAGAACAAGCAAGCAGAAAAATTTACTAACGATGTAGAAAAACGAAAATCAGAGCAAACAAATTTGATCTAAAAGACATAGGTAGAACACACTACCCAACAATTGCAAAATATACATTATTTTCCAGCATCTACAGTGCATTTACAATGAACTTGGTGGTCATGCTAGTGCTAATTCTGTAGGAATAAAATTACATGGAGTGTAACCTCTAACCACAGTGCAACTGTGTTAGAAAGCAACAATAAAAAGACAAATAGAAAAGTTCATATAATTTGAATTAAAATATATACTTCTAACTACTTAATAGATCAAAGAAGAAATAATAATGGGAATTTTAAAATAGTCATGATACTCTGGGAAACATTGCTCTGCCAGATGGTAAAGCTTATTTTAAGAGACAAACATTAATGTTGTGTAGTACTGATTCAGAAATGGACCGATAATCTAATGACACAGAGTAACAACCCCAGTACACAATCCACGAGTGTTAGGAAGAGAACAGCCTTCTTAATAACAAGCTGAGATAACTGGCTAGCCATAGAAAAAAATTAATCAGACCCCTTCCTACTCAAAATTTATTTTCAAATCATTTAACTATAAAAATAAGATAATCTCTTTACAATCACAAAGGACAAAAGGACTTCCTAATTATAGTACAAAAAGCATTAGTCACATAGGTAAAGATTTGGTATATTTGAACTTATTAGTGTGAATAAATTTCTGTTCATCAAAAGGACACAATAGGGTGCTTGCTTGGGCAGCACATACACTAAAATTAGAACAATACAGGGAAGATCAGCATGATCCCTGTGAAAGAATAACATACAAATTTGTGAAGCATTCCATATTTTTTAAATTGGTGTGATTATACTTTGTGTACAACCAGAGACATGAAAAACTGTGCTCTATATGTGTAATAAGAATTGTAACGCATTCCGCTGTCATATATAAATATAAAAATGATAATAAAAATAAATAAAATGCCTGTATTTTCTATTTTTAAAAAAAGGGCACAATAGGGGGTGGGGATATAGCACACTGGTAGAGTGCTTGCCTGCCATGTTAGAGGCCCTGGGATCAATCCCAGCACCACACATTCATTCTCTCTCTCTCTCTCTCTCTCTCTCTCTCTCTCTCTCACACACACACACACACACACACACACGGAAAAGACACCATATAAAGAGTGAAAGGAAAAACCCACAGAGAAAGAAAAGATATTCATAATACATGAAACCAACAAAAACTAGAAACCAGAAAATACAAAGGAATACATAATAGAAAAAATTGAATTTTTGTAAGTTGGCAACATGTTTTTGATTTTTATCTTTCCCACATCTTTATTGGCACATTATAGTTATACATACTGATGGATTTTTTTGTTACATATTCCTGCATGCACACAACACACAATATACCAATATAATTTGACCAATATCATTCCCCAACACTTCCCCTCTTCCTCCCCACCTCCCACCCTTGAGTCCCTTTTCTCTATTGATCTCCCTGTGATTTTCACGAGATCCCCACCACTTTTATTTTCCTTTTTCCTCTCTAGCTTCCACACATGAAGGAAAACATATATCTCCAAATCTTCCAAAAATTGAATTTTACAGTGAGCTTAAAACCTGGGTGGTTTCTAAAAGTATGAATTTAATTGATCAATAGTCTATGAAAAAGGTGTCTACCTTATTAGTAATCATAAAATGCAAATTAAACCACAATGACATGCTATTATTATACATGACCAGATAGGTAAAATTTGAAAAATTGGCAATTTCAAGTGTCAGTAAATAATCAGAACAACAACAAAAAAAAAATCTCAAAAATCTGGTAGGAGAATGAATTGGTACAAACACTTTGGAAAGTTTGCTCTTATTTTTTATAGTTAAAGTTAAGCATACCAAGTAATATGCTCTTGAGAAACAGTAGAATACATAAATATGAATGTTCATTTTCGCATTGTAATGGCTAAAAATTGAGAACCCCAAATTCAAAAGTGGATGGATAAATTGTGAAATATTCACACAACGGAATATTCTACAGCAATGAAAATAAAAGAACTATACGTCCATGCCTAATCCCAGTCACTCCAGAGGTTGAGGAAAGAGAATCTCAAGTTTGAGGTCAGCCTCCACAATGTAGCATGACCCTACCTCAGGATAAAAAATAAAAAGGCTGAGGATGTAGATCAGTGGTAGAGCACCCATGGGTTCAATCTCCAGCACCACAAAAAATAACCAAAACCAAAACTACAAATGACCTTATGAAGACAAGGCTAAGAAAACAGAAAATATAAATAAAAACATAGTGTATGATAACATTATATATAGTTTTTTTTGAAACCAGAAAAATCAGGCACACTATATTCTTCAGACATATACACAGAGGGTAAGAATATAAACAAAATGAAGGAAGCAATATCCTAAGAAGTTAAGGTAATGATAACCTTTAGGGAAAAGGGAGGGAGAAATTATCTGGAAAAGGTCAAGATGTTGGCAATATTCTATTTCTTGATCTGTTTTCTTGTTATGTAAGTGTTGGTTTTTTACAATGGCTGTTATACTTTACATTTTGATGTTATATGCACTTTTTGGTCTGTTATTTTTTAATTTATAATGGTTTAACAAGAAAGAAGGAAACTGAGTAGAAAAAGGGAAGAATGAAAGATGTACCAGTTGGCAAACTACTGTGGTTGAATAAATATAAGGCAGCGATGGCTTAGATTACGATGGTGGTACAGAAGTAATGAAAAGAGATGAATTCAAGATAAGTCAGAATGGAAAGGACTGGACTTCGGCGGTGAGAGAAAGGGGAATCACACGTGGCTTCTGTTCCAGGCTTGAGGATGCTGGAGGAAGGGGTGGGGAGAAAAGGTTAGGAGTAATGATTGGGATATGGAATTGTGTGTCTTGTTCTAGGAATTAAGTTTAAGATGCCCGTGAAAAGTTTATTTATCTAGAGGTATCATTTATGTTGTTCAATATAGGCATGACATAAACGAAGGATTTAATAGCATCTCTATGCTATTTTAAAACGTTAAGACTGGATATGATCACCTGAAGAAAGTGTAGAAACAGAGGCAGGCTCAGGACTAGCTCTGATTAAATGCACCTACATAACATAACAGAGAAAAAAAAAACGGAGACGTTATGAGATAGCAGGAAAACAGACATGGATCCCAAAAGCTCCAAGATGAAAGTGAAGGAGGAGGGAGCCATCAACCAACTATATCAGTACGTAGAGGTGGAAGAAAATGGGAACAAAGAGATATCTTTGGGATTTAGCAACGTGGAGATCATTGGTAATCTTGAGCAGTGTAGTTTCAGAAGGGTGAAGGCAGGAAACTGGATTGAAATACGTTGAAGTTTAAACAGAAATTGAGCAAGTAGCCCAGTGCGGTGGCGCAAGCTTGTCATCTCAGCTATTCAGAAGGCTGAGGCAGGAGGATGCAAGTTAGAGGCCAGCTTGGGCAATTTAGCGAGACCACTGTCCCAAACATATAAAACAAAAAGGTGCCATGGATGCCATGGTGCATGCCTGTAATCCCAAGTACTTGGGAATCAAAGGCAGGAGGATTGTAAGTTCAGAGTAAGACCCTAAGTCTTACTTAAGAGTAAGACTCTGTCTCAAAATTTAAAAAGTTTTTTAAAAGGGCTCAGTGATTAAGCACCCTGGATTCAATCTCTGACACCAAAAAACAAAAAGCAAAACAAACAAATCTGGAGATGAAGTCCAGTGGTAGAGTTCCTGCCTAGCATGGATGAGGGCCTGGGTTCAGTCCCCAATAGCAAAAAAAAAAAAAAACCCAAAACAAAACAAACGAACAACAAAACAACAACAAAAAACAGGAAATAAAGGCAGTGAGTATAAACAAATCTTTTGTATTTAGATTATAAAATACAGTACAGAAATGAGGCAGTGTGGGCAAAGTGGAGACAAGGGGCCTTAGTCAAGGAGACTGAGGACAATGATGTCAGTGAATGGCTGTTTGACAATGGCAGAGAAAGTAAACCAAAGGCAACAGCACACATTCAAATTCTCTGAGGGTCTGTACTGCTGGTTCGTAGTTCACTGATTCCCCAAATTTCTAATCCTGAAAGTAAGTTTCTATTAAGCAAGTTGTCTCTTATTAGGCAAAACTGATTATTTTAAGTTAAGCAAGTTGATTTTTATTTAACCATAACAAGGAAACTCCTAAGGTTACGCTGAAAGGAAATTCAGGCGTCTGCTGTCCTCATAGAAGAAAGAAATACTAAAGATAGACATAAAAAATATATTCATGAATTATGAATTGTATAAATTGTCCATTGTGATATTTAACATCTCTTCGTTAAACTCTTTATTGCTCATACCCTGCTTTCAACAGAGACATTAAATTATCAAGAACTTTGAAAATATACAATAATATATAGTAAATATATTAGCAAATTAGCAAATCAAAGGAGAAGGAAACATGTTATATAAAACATTACCTTTGACTTCTTTTATTTTTTTTTAATATTTATTTTTTAGTTTTAGGTGGACACAGTATCTTTGTTTTATTTTTATGTGGTGCTGAGGATTAAACCCAGTGCCTCACAAGTGCTAGAAGAGCACTCTACCACTTGAGCCACAGCCCCAGCCCTTGACTTACTTTCTTGATTTTTCATGTTTGTTGGAACAAATTGTGATCTTAAATTTAACTTTTCAAAATCACTCTTTCTGGGTTCAGGTTCAATTTTGAAATAGACACATCTGAAAGACATAAAAAACAAATCTAAATTAAAAGAATCAGAAAATTTATAAAACAAAATCTAAAAAACAAATTTGGAAAATATATGAAGTCCCAGTTATATAAATTTAGATATTAAACTAATACTATTATAATAAAAAATATAAAAGATTGAGCAGGAGCTGAAAATACTAATGTTAATCATTTGAAACAGAGGGGACAAGAACCCCACTGTTTGTGATAGGGTTAAGGGCAGTCCAAGGACAATCACTCTCCACAAGCTAACTAACCTTTTCAGAAAACTATGCTGCAAATTAGTCCCATGACAAATTGAGGGCATTGCAGACCTGAATTATCATGGTGGGATACAGAATTAGGGACAGTCCACATACCAGAATGGTCAACCAGATAGGATCACAGCATTTATGTACTGTAGACAGAATGTCCCTCCTCTAAATTTAACTGGTCTGTTTCTTTAAAATTTTGTATTTTATTTTAAGTGCTTATTTAATATCACTGGGAAATACTTCTATGATTGTGTGGTGCTCTAGTGAGAATGGGCATCATCCTGACTCTAACTGAAATGGGAATGGGTCAAGTGTCCCACCCTGAGAATGATGCTGGCTATACAGATGTCTCTCAACTTACGAGAGGGTTATGTTCTAATAAATCCATAGTGAAATGAAAATACTGTAAGTAAAAAATGTATTCAAAGCTTTGGTGATGGGTAGAAGCTGGAAGAATTTCAAAATGCATGCTGAAAAACTGCTGATGTTGCCACTGAAGGGTCTCACCCTTTTTAACTGAGCTGGTGACAGCACTGTATCCGCCTGTCCATGCACTCTGGGTCTGTGGTGGGAGTGGCAGACTTGGTGCTTTTCTGAATTGCTTCTGGGCCCTTCTTCTCTTGCTTGAAGAATAGAGTATGTTTTACTCATGTTTATAGCAGCACAATTCACAATAGCCAAACTATGAAACTAGCCTAGGTGTCCATCAATGAATAAATGGATAAAGAAAATGTGATGTGTACAAACAATGGAGTTTTATTCAGCCATAAATAAAAATGAAACTATAGCATTTGCAGGAAAAGGGATGAAACTTGAGACCATTATGTTAAGGGAAATAAGTGAAACTTATACATATATGGAAACTATAGAGAAAAAAGGAAAATGAGAGTAGGTGTGGATCTCCTAAATATCAAAGGGAAATCAGTAGAGGAAAGAGATCAAAGGGTGAGAGGTGAGGGAAGTGCTGGGGAGTGATACTGACTAAATCATATTGTTATGTTGTATGCATGTATGAATATGCAACAACAAATCCCATCAATATGAACAATTATAATGCACCAATAAAAAATTGGAAAAAAAAGAATAGTGCATGTTTGCAGCTGAGTATCTATACAGATGTCTCTCAACTTACGAGAGAGTTATGTCATAGTATCTATGCTGCAAACAGCTCTACAGTCTGGCCCTGGAGGGTCTGGGAATTTTAACAGTCATTAAAAAAATTTTAAAAAACAGTCAAATTTTTTTATTTTTTCCCCATTTTCTCTGTTTTCTTTTGTCACAGCTGATAGTTTTTTCCTGCTTTATAATTTCATCTTTACTCTTGACTTCTGTTGATATCTAATTAGGTCCATGTTTGTTCATAACCACATTCATCTTATTATCCAATGGTCAGTCTACCACAAACTAAGTGTTCTCTTCTAAATGTGCTTTTTCACATTTGGAACATGGGCAAATTGAAACTTTTCCAAATATTTTATTATTCCTTTTTGCTTAATTCTATCTTCAATTCATTATCTCTTCTTGTGTTTTACTGTATGGGTCAAGAGAACCAACCACACTTAAAAATTTCTCCATCTAAATACACAATTTTATTGTTCACAAGCTCTACATTCCACAAAATACTAGAACACACACAATTCAGCCAAGTTCTCTGCCACTATGCGTAACAAGCACCACCATATAATTTCAAAAGTTGAAAATAATTTACTGTGTTTTTTTTTCTCTTTTCACATTTGGTTTGCTGTTTTCTTGCCTTAAAAATGAAAATGAAATATATAACTAATTTTATTTCCTTTCCTTTGTAATCAAACAGTTTTTTTCTGCCCTTAGAATTAAGTGATTTTTATCATAACTTTAGCACCTTGGTGACCCTTTTGATCTGAAAATTCAACTCTTTCTTTAAAAGAAGAGCATTTTTTCCCTAATATTTCTTGGATCATTCCTTAACCATCTATTTTCCTCTCTTCTGATTCATGCATTCAGTATATACACATTTACATATTGAGTACACTGAAACTGTGATACATGTCTCTTTTCAATTGATAAGGTATTTTTTTTGCAAGATTCTGCCTTGATTTAATCTTCTAAAGTATCTATCCACTTTTCATCTGTATTTTATTTTCAATTTCCCCATTTAGTTTGTGATAAAGGTTTATTTTTTAATCTCCTTTTTCTCTCTGATTATTTGTCCTTAAGACACATATTTTCTAAAGCTTTCTTCTGTTCTTCCCATTAAATTTGCTTCATGAGGAGTCACCTGTTCTGAATGTTTGGTTCCATCTCCCTCCTTCAAATGAGTCTCCTTAAATGACTTTTGATTTCTCTTTGGCCACTCTTTCCTGTGAGGGTGGATTCCTCTGGCACCTCTGAAGCTCCAGTTATTTGGGACTCTAATTGGGCAGTAAGATATAAGAGCCTCATGTAATGAATCACTGGCCACACAGGTGTCATCTAGGATCTCTTGATGAAGAAAATGAGAAATGAAGAAGTCTACAGCAATGGTTCTCAAACCACTAGCTGTATATTAGAATTACCCAGAGGGCTTTGAAAAACACACAGACTAACAGTTCATGATCTCAAGGGTTGGGAGACTGGGTACATTTTTAAAAAGCTCTCAAGTGATTCTAATGAGCAGCTACTATGAGAAGCCCTGCTCTAGATTCCCCAGTTTCTTCACTGTATGGGCTAATGGGAATCCTCTTCCAGCTCCTCAGAGAAGAGAACACGTTCAATGGGTACTGAAACTCTCTCTAAAGAGAGCTGGAGGAGGTAAAGCCCTTCACTTCCCAGAATCCTCGAGGAGCCTTAAAGGAACCTGTGCCCATGTTACTGAGGAACTGTGTTGGTCATAGCAAATTAGGCATAAATCTCTCACATAAGTGCTCCACTTTTTTTCACACTTCCTGTTCCCACCCTATTCCATTTAACTATTAAATCACATGTTATCAAAGATATTAAAAATTTTTGCCTTAATTATCAAGAATATAAGTGATAATAAGTATTGGCAAGGATGTGGGGAAAAAGGCACACTCATACATTGTTGGTGGGACTGCAGATTGGTGCAACCACTCTGGAAGGCAGTATGGAGATTCCCCAGAAAACCTGGAATGGAACCACCATTTGACCAACCTATCCTACTCCTGGGTTTATACTCAACGTATTTAAAGTCAGGATACTACGTGACACAGACACATCAATGTTTATAGCAGCTCAATTCACAATACCTAAACTATGGAACCAACCTAGATGCCCTTCAACAGATGAATGGATAAAGAAAATGTGGTACATATACACAATGAATATTATTCAGCCTTAAAGAAAAATGAAATTTACAGGTAAATGGATGGAACTAGAGAATATCATGCTAAGTGAAATAAGCCAATGCCCCCAAACCAAAAGCCGAATGTTTTCTCTGATAAGTGGATGCTGATCCATGGTGGGGGTGGGGTAGGGAAGAATGAAGGAACTTTGGATTGTGAAGAGGGGAAAAGGTGGGGCTGTGGGGATTGGAAGGACGGTAGAATGAGACAGACTTTATTATCCTATACACATGTATGATTACACTACTGGTGTGACTCTGCACCATGAACAGCCAGAAGAATGATAAGTTATGCTCTATTTGTGTACAATGTGTCAAAATGCATTTGACTGTCATGTATAACTAATTAGTACAAATTAAAAAACAAAAATAGAAAAAAATAAATCCTAATCTACTCCCCAATTTTCCCTTCAATAAAGTTAGGACCTAAAAGGAGTTTTATCAAAAAGCAAAAGAAATTTTTATGTTTTTCTTAATTCAAAAATATTAATTTCTTCAGAAATACTCAAATATTATAACAAAAGCATAAAATATTAAAAAAAGAAAAGTTTGCCTCTTGTAAACATAGCTTAAGTGTATTTCTTTACTGTCTTATTTTTAAAGATCAGTATGTATGATTGTATATTGGAAAAACTAAGCTTTAATTTTATTGTTGTTGTGCTATTTTTTTGTGCCTACCATGTGTAGGCAATAAATTTTAAATTTTTCACATACATTAACATATTTAATTCTCATGAAGTCCCTATGGAATATATGTTATTACTATCCCCCCCTGAAAAATAGGAAACTGAGGCATAGAGAAGTTATATAACTTGCCCTGTGTCGTAAAGCTAATAGAAAGCAAAGCTAGTATACAAGCTTGATGATTAGACTGAAAACTTCACCATCTTAATCTTTATATCAGGCTAATATCACTCAGATTACATGATGTCTATTGAACTAAGAGAACAATTTTTTTCATTAAATTTCACTAATGGGCTGAGGGTAAAGCACATTAGTAGACTACCTGCCTAGCATGTGTGAGGCCTTGGTTGGATTCCCAGCAGCACAAGAGGGAAAAAAAATCTACATAGACTGCAACTGTATCCTCAATTCATGTTTTTTTAAATTTTTTTTAGTTATCAATGGACCTCCATTTTACTCACTAATTTATATGTGGTGCTGAGAATCAAATCCAGCACCCCACATGTGTGAAGCAAGCACTCTACCACCCTTATATGTTTTTAAAAAATATTTTTTAGATGTTGATGGACCTTATTTTATTCATTTATTTATATGGGGTGCTGAGAATCGAACCTACTACCTCACACATGCTAGACAAGTGCTCTACCACTGAGCCACAACTCCAGCCCCCTTTATTCATATTTAATTATTTTTTCCATACATGAGTTTCTCTTCTTGTTAAAAAAAAATGAATCCACACAACATAACCATATATACTGTGTAAGTATACACACATGATTTTTGTCCTTCCCCACGTTCCCTACTTCCATTCTATGAATTTTTTCTATGAATTATTAAAATATCACATATTAATAGGGACAGTTCTATAAATGACTTTGAAGTAAAATTATTGGCTTATCTACCTAAAACAAAGTAGTAATGTAAGAAGTTTGCGATAAAATTGAATTATGTAAACCACTGATATTTACTTGTGCTAGGAACAAACTGCTTTCTTCTAACTTACTGCTTCAATGGGGACATGTTTTGATATTCTGGTAAATCACAAATTTTAAAAATCTGAATGAGCTGTATTTTGTGCTGTTATCAGAATGCTTACAAGTAAAACAATAAGTAATAGTTATAGTTCTCCACATCATGTTTTATGATAGACTGGGAGTTGTTTGTCCAACTTTCTTCCAGATACCTTCACCTGAATTCCCCACAGGCATCTAAAACTTAACAAATCCAAAATAAATTCCAGCTCTTCTCACCTTAATCCTCCTACTCACCCAAGATAGAGCTGCTTCTATCCACATATTCTCTACAAAGCACTATGATGCATGTATCTGGGCATCAAACCCAGGCTTGAGGTCATCCTATTGAACCAGATGATGATAAAGAGAATGGGCTCTGAAATCAGACTACTAGGCTTTAAATCCTTCCTCTTGCTAGTTGTGTGACGTTGGAAGTTATTTAACCTAACACATGGATTTTTCATCTGTAAAACTGTAATTCCCACATTGGATTGTGACATAAAATAAATGAGATAAGAACAGTATCAACACTACCACCAATATTCAGTTGACCTGGTTTGATTCTATTTCTTTATACTTCTTTTCAGGCTCTCTACATTTCTGATGCTTGGAAAAATTACAGAGCATTACACATGTACATATGCTAGCGAAAGACCAAGTATGGCATGATTAGGCTATCCATTGTTAAGTACACAAAGAAACTGCCTTATTTAGTTTTCTAGGCAGGAATTTTCTTATAATATATTAATTAAAGTTTAAAATAAATCCTGACATTAATTTGGAGAAATGTCACTGACTAACTTTCTTTAAAAATTCAGAATTGTGTCTGGGGATGTAGTTCAGTGGTAGTGTTTGCCTAGCATGTGAGAAGTACTGGGTTCCATTCTAAGCACTGTGAAAAATAAAAAGTATTTAAAAAAATAAATAAAAACAAAAATTAATAATTGAAATTACTATCTATGCTAGTGAAATATTTTATAAGCTGGGAATCTTCAAATAGTAATCTAGTATATTTTAACTCATAACTGTTATAAAATATACCATATGACAAAATTTTCATGTTATATACATTGCATAGTTTAATACAAATATAAAGCAATGCTTCCAACCTTCAAACTGAAAGTTTGAGGTCGTTATGATAGTTACTTTTTTGATTTTTTAACATCACGTGACTTATCTTCCATGGTCTTTGATGCTGTCCTCGATGCAGATTGAAGGGTAGAACTACCCTCTTCAAATTCTGAATGATAATCAAATGTCAGGGGTAAAGTATTTTCTGTTCCTACATACTGAAGCTTGTTTTTCTGCAACAAAACCAAAGTGACAACAAATAATTACTTTTCCTAGAGGGACTATCCTGTTTGGATAAGACAAAAATTCATCTCACTTTACACACACACACACACACACACACAATGCATATGGCAGGCAATAATGAGAGAATATACAGATTGAAAACTGGGGTCTTGTGCCCCAACTTTTATGCCTTTGCTGTGTGACCTGAGCAAGCTCTTCCCAACTATAAAATGAGGGTACTGGACTAGATGACCACTCAGGCTCCCTTCTAACTCTAACATTCAGATTACAAGGAAAGACCTGCCTATGACATTTAGCAAAGACAATGTCTTTAAAGCAACTTGGAGATACCCTGTCTGAAAATGAAAACTAAAAAGAGCTGGGGACGTGGCTTGGTGGAAAAGCACCTCTGGGCTCAATCCCCAAGACCAAAAAATAAAAAAAAAATCATTAAAATATAAAATATTTACACAGATGAACTGAAGAGAAAAGAAAAAAGATATAACTAAAGAGTGAGTTAAGGAGCTGGAAGTTATCTCTAAAAAATTCTCTCAGAGTACAGCATAGAGAAATAAAGGTAAAACTTTTGAAAGGAAAGTTAAAGAAATGGTGGCAAATGCTGGTGATCCTAGCTACTCTGGAGGCTGAGGCAGGAAGACTGCAAGCTCAAGACCAGCTTGGGCAATTTAGCAAGGCTCCATCTCAAAAGTAAAAACGGCTGTGGATGTAGCTGAGTGGTAGGGCATCCCTGTTTCCATCCCAGTACAGAGGTGCGCCGGAGCGAGGGGGATGGGAGGGGTGGGGTGGGGGCAATTAGGGAAGGAAGGAAGGAAAAAGAAAGTCAAAAGATAGAGGGAGCTTCTGCATCTGCCCATGAAGGATTAAGTGCTATAGTAATTCAACTCCTACTGTAAACAAACAGAAAATCAGGCAGAATATATGAAAACTACCTTCTTCAGCAGGAATGAATCCTGGAAAGAAGAAAAACAAATGAGGTGAATGCTGCAATAGCCCAAATTACTTCCTAGAGCAATTTCTGGGCTGAGGTTCAGGGAAGGGGAACCCTATGGGTCTGGGGGGAATTCAAACCAAACTTTCTGGCCTTGCTGCTGTTCAGATGAAAGACTGCAGTAGTGGTTGTATTTTGGGGCATTAACTCCAGAGAAATGAAAACTTAAATTTACACAAAAACTCGTATAAAACTTGTATAAAAACGTTCATAGCAGCTTTATTTTATTTTTAGCAGTCTTATTTTTTTTTTGTAGCCAAATCCTGACAAGAACCCAAATGCCCTTCAATGGATACGTGATTGAAACTGTTCCTCCATATAACGGAATACTACTCAGCAATAAAATTTGCATGTTATTTATAATAACAAAACTATGGATTCATGCAAAACTCTGGGTGAACTTCAAAGTCCATTATGTTTAGTGAAAAAGTCACTCTCAAAATTTTACATATCGGATGATTCTATTTCTATTACATTTTCAAAATTACAAAATTGTGGAGATGGAAAACAAATCAGTGACTGCTTTTTCACATATAGAGATGGTGAATGCAGTGGATAAAAGAAGTAGCATGAGAGTGTTGTGTACAGTGACAGAAAAGGGCTGGATTTTGATTGTGGTGGTTACACACATCTGTAAATGGAATAATACTGCATGAAACTACACATACACACTCACAGGTGTACACACACACACACACACACACAAATTCATGCTGATCAAAAAATGAAAAAACTGAAGGTAAAAACTGAAGAAAATCTGTAGTCCTGTTGACAGACATCAGGTATCAACGTCTTGGTTTTAATATTGTACCACAACTGTATAAGATGTCATCATTGTAGGTAACTTGGGTAAAAGGTACGAGGTTTTTGTAATTGCAAAAACTGGGTCTACAATATTTTTCAGTTTAAAAAAATTTAAAAAAACAAATACCAGAGTGATTTATGTATTAGCTCATTTTCGTTAAAAAATAGATAAAATCTGTAGGTATGTGTCTATGTGTCTGTGTGTTCTTATTCTAAATACATGTAAATTTATATGCAAAGATAAATGTCTTTATGTATATCTTTATAAGAGTACATAAAAAGATATGAATGAACAAACTCTAATTGTCAAAATGTATTTGCCTGTGATGAGTGGATTATAGGAAAGAAGCCAAAGACTACTAATTAACTTCTCTTTATTTAATTTCTTTATGTCTACTTTTCTTTATACATCTCTATGCATTGTTTAACTTGTTCCCAAAGGTATGTTTTATATTTACAATTTTAAAATAATAAAAGTTTTAAAATATGATCATATAGAGTATGTGTGTGTGTGTGTGTGTGTATTTTTTAATGGTGCTGGGGATTGAATCCAGGGCCTTGTGCATTCGAGGCAAACACTCTACCAGCTGAGCTACATCATCAGTCCCAGTATATAATTTTAAAAGAATTTCCAGAAAACCAAATTTTAATTGTTCCTATATGTCCCAAACTGGGTTTTGAGAACCATATTCTCTTTTAATATTTTTCTTGAATTCTATGAGTCTTGCCTATTTATAGTTTACTTCAATTATTTCTGTAAGTTTTAATTATTTCTAATTTGGTAACTATCCCAAATGTTCTCTTTCTTTTAACATGCCCAACCTAAGTAACTCTGCATATGTTTAACACATTGGTAAGAACTATAGCAGTAGTCACATTTAATATTCAGCAGCACAGGATTTCTAAGCAGGTGTGATATATACCATAACCTACTGTAGCAGCTGTCTGGAGGTTTTCTTGTACAGTTAATCAATTCTTTTTATTATCCACTTAGATGATTCTTTCACCTAATGTAATGATTTGCTTTTTATAAATTAGTTTATATTTTCAGATTAATCTATCATTAACTAAAAATCAAAATTATTCTTATTTGAAATGTTAATTTTTAATATGTTTTTTTTTAGTTGTAGATGGTCACATACCTTTACTTATTTTTATGTGGTGCGGAAATTGAACCCCATGCCTCATGCATGCTAGGCAAGCGCTCTACCACTGAGCCACAACCCCAGCCCCTTGAAATATTGATTTTTTAATGATTAAATTGAATGTAACTTTCACTTTACAGACCTTTATTCTTCTGTTCATGAGTATCTTTGCTTGCTTATCCAGGAGTTCTAACTTCTGTAAGACTCTTTCTGCCATTGTCTGTCAGTAAATTCCTACTTAAAAAGGAAGAGAAGAAAAAAATCTCCGAATCAATTAGAATTTAAACATGAAACTGATTAGACATAAGAGATGACTCATCTTTACATTACTATTTAGATAAGTGATAGAATTCATGGAATAAATCATAGAATTATACATGTATCCACATTTTTTTCAGAAGGTCACATGATTAGCACTCCCACATATGTGTGGGTCCCAGGAATTTCTATATTTAAGAGGAAGTTGAGTTGGAGAAACTTTAAGATTATCATATGAGAACTAGCATGACTCAGGCTTGAAGTAAGGACATGTGGCATGATTTATGTCTATTTTATTTTGCCATGATATGATTTTAATAAAACTAAATGCAGAGTTCACATTTACATAATTCATTGCATTTAAATTAAATTGGTCTATGATCCAAGACTGTTAATATAGCATTTAGCAGGCAATTAGTCACACAGAAGGCATAGCAACTAAGCTGGTTAGTCCCACTGTGGCAATAATTCATATTTCTGGTTAATTAATATTGCTGAAAATATCATCCAGGGTCAAGCAGTTTATATTAGGTTTGGTAAGTTATTTAAACATGAATACCTTGTCTAATTTAGTTCTGTTTTCAGATGAGAAAACAGAAGGCCACAAAGTACCTTCTTGGTGCAAGACAAATATCTTGGGGTAGAGTGGAGGCAAGAATCCAGGAAGGGTAGCTTCAAACTCCCTTTATTTATTTTAAAAATTTGAGCAGATGACTATTCATTTCATAAATCTTTTCTCAGTGAGTTCAATAGGCTCCAGTGGCATTTAAGTGTAAACATTATATGGGTCACAAAAAGAACTGAACTCATCAATGTTGATTATTAATTATTATTATTGTTTGTTATGGGAGAAAATACTTCTTTCTGGTGTTTCCAATGGTCTGCAGACAAAGTTGTCCAAGTCATTGTCAAACATAGTTCACCTGACCTTTGTTTGCTGGTTACTGAGAGAATGACTATTGCCTAAGCTATGGGATCAAACTGCTAGGACTACTGGACCAAATTATTCATTGATAAGAGATACAGAATTATTCCTAGGAATCATTGTACTAAGAATAACTTACTTAATCCTTGATGAAAGTAAGGACATAACTTAGATAACTACCATTAATTGAAGCGTATTTTTCTAGACTTTTAAACTAGACATACAATTAGCAATTCTTTCTAATTCTAATGTTAGTTTACATATAAAAAGCTATTTCCCCCTGAACTTATGGCATGAATTTAAACAAAGCCCGATAAGTTAATATGAATTACAGAATTGAACTCATTAATGTTTTTAGTGTACACACTTAGCTTCTTCCTAGCTCAAAAGAAAAAAACTATTTCTCCCATATTGTATGTGATTCAGTCAATATCACATGGAGACAATTATGCATGAAAAACAAAGATTCAAGCTCACATTATTTTGTACTTGATTTCTTTCAGTTCTTTCAACACTCTTTCCTTTACCACACATTGCACCACGTATAAATTCTTAAAGCTTCTGATAGTACCTTTCCCCTTCCTGTCCCAGCATGCTCTCTGCCACTTTGTTATATCCACTTACTTCATCTTCATCTCATGACATAGTTTCATGTGTATTAGGGTTTTTTTTTTAATTGCTATAACAAAATATCGGAGGCTGAGTACTTCATAAAGAAAAGAGGTATGTGTAGCTTACAATTTTGGAGACTCAAAGTCCAAGATCAAGCAGCCCCATTTTTTTGGCCTGAAGTGAGGCCTCGTGGCAGATGATATTACAATGGTGGAAGTGTAAAGAGAGTCATCGTAGCATGGCAAGACACAAAGCCAGAAAGCAGGTTGGGCCAGTTTTGCTCTTTTATATCAACCCTCTCATGAGAAATAACCAGAGTCCCTGGAGAACTGTACTAACTCCCTCTGAGGGCAGGACCTCCTGTGATCTAGTTATTTCCCACTAAACTCCATGTCTTAAAGGCTCTATCACCTCACACTTAGCTAGGCTCAGGAACAAACTCCCAACATGTGAGCCTTTGGAGGACATCCTTAAACTATATCCAAACCATAGCACGAATGTGACAAAGAATTTATGCAAAGGAAATTCTATTCCGTGGGTAGATAGCTTGCCTTATTATGACCTACATAACCAGAGTTGTATCTGGGCAAGGGGAGATGCAGGATAAAGGTGTTAGGCACATGTGAATTCCTTGGACTCTGAGTCTCCTACAGGAAAGCAGGGGCAGATTTTAGAGGAGAATAATAGATTACTTAAACACTACGTATTTTTTTCTTTTTGAGGCCCAGGAACCAATCCTTTTGTGCCCTAAGGTATTTTAGTTTCTGTGTTTCCCCTGTATGTGAATTCAAGGGGGTAAGACACCTCTATTCCTCAGTACAATTGCTTTCATGGGAATCAAAGATTTCTACCTCTCAGTAAGAGACAGAAAGGTAAATAACCAGAAAGACCAGCATATTGAAGCGAATGGGCTTCCCAGTTTAGGGAAGGTATAAATTATATGAGGGACAACTGTGGCACACTGCTTACTTGTGGTAAGGAACAGAAAGCAGGTCATTTTAGAGTAAGATGTTCTATGCCTCTTACTTTTAGAGTCCTCCCATCTTCAACCTCACATCACACATTTTAAAATGTTCCATGTCATCCAGTTTTATATATATGGGATCCTATGATATGGAACAATGTTTATGGTTTTGTTTAAAAATTATTTTGCTATGAGTGAATTATTTGGCTATTGCTATGAATTCTGGAAAATCACTACACATATCACAAAATTTTTAAATTGAGGAAAACTAACCAATTATTTTTGAGTGTCAATAAAAATTTTATGAATACTAAATTTGTTAGTGAAACTAACAGAATATGATTCACTTTGAAGTCTTATACTTTGGAACCAACACTTTTTCTTCCAGTTTGCACACAGTTTCATGGATCTTTGGCAATGTGCCAATCGTGCCTGATAAATGGCCTGGGAGAAGGTGGAGGTGCGGAAACACCAGGAATTAACTTTCTTGCTTTTCTCATTAAACCAAGGGTACAAAAGGCCTATTATAATTTAATGAATACTTTTTTCAATTTTTAGTATTTTTATTGATTTTAAATTTTAAAACAAAATCCAGTTTGAATCACAAAATTCAGTTGCAATCATGATTGGAAATGAAATATTTACAATATATTTCTAACGTTATTATTCTATATAATAATAAGACATTTAACAGCATAGCATGATGTGAAGTTTTCATTCCAATGGTTTATATATTTTCTTAGGATGAATTACATTTTTTAAAAATTTAACATCACTTCATTGAACTGTACAAAACCAAAAACATATTTTTAAAAGACTTGCCAAACATCATTTATGAGTGTGTTTTAAAAAACACCTCTTCAGTTTGCAGGTGAAGCCGAGAGCTGTTTCCACCTTCTGGAAGGTGGAAACCTTCAGGAAGTGATCTGGAAAGGCTTCACCTTCACCATCAAGAAGAACAGATTTGGGGATTCCCCCCCCCAAGAATTGTTTATACTTGATCCTGCTGGAGTACTGGTACACACAGAATCCCCACCTGCCACATTTAATCAGAATCTGATCCACCTGATTTTGTGTAATGGTTAAAGCTACCGGGTAAAGAACTAAGGTGAGAAACAGTACAGAGATTTAGGAATGAACTCTAGAGGGTATGTCTTCTAAAAGGGATCTATTATTTTATATCAGTAAAGAGGTGTTACTGAAACATAATCTCTTCAATATATGAACCTATTTTAAATGATACTTCAAATAGCAATAAGTTCCATTACATATTGTGGCCTAAAATAGTTTTTTAGAAAAAAAAAGTTACTTTGTTATCCAACTTCTCATAATATCCATGCTGAGTATTTTCATATATCTTCTAAGTACTGAGCTTTTTCATATTTCCAATGAGGTCAATCCTTTTATACTTTTGACTAAAGATTTATTTTCTATGTTGGACACATTTGGTTATTCACCAAAGCCTCTTGATTGGTAATGCAATGGACCCCCAGTCCTTGTAAATGATTAATATAAATATATACAAACTATAAGAGATTGATTTTGCTAGACTTTGAAAAACCTCATTTGCATTCCAAAACCAAACCTTAATAAGAGACCAAAGTCCATGTTAGCAAGTTAATGAATACTTTTCTGCTCTTTCTTTGAATTGGTGTAACTTTGGCTAATATTGGTTTCTCTGACAACAGTCACATCTTCCTGCCTTCTCTGGAGTTTACTTGTGTCTTCAACTTGGTCCTTCTTCCTCAGTTCACCCCCTAAATACTGGTGCTCATAAGGGCTTGACCATCTTTCTCATCTTTCCATATATTCTTGGAAGATAACCTCTCGAGACCCATGGCTTCATCTATTGCCACCTGTATTCAAACAAAATCTCCCTTCTGAATTCCAAACCAATATCCCCAGCTAACTTACATCTCCCATAGGAACTCCAACTGCAGATTTCAGAGTAAACTTCCCCTGTTGTTTTTATCCCCCAACCAAAAATCTCTTCCAATCTTCATTATCACGTTAGCATCTCTTAGGTTTCTAGCTTACACTCTTAGGTATCATAATGATTCTCAACCTTGGTTACACTGCAGAATAAACCAAGAAACCTCCAAGAAATACTGATTCCCAGTTGCCACCCCAGACCTTCTCAGTTAGAATTGATTGAAATGAAGACTGGTGACCTGTTTTTAATGCTATTGTGATGCAGCTCTTCTCAAAAAACAGAATTTGGTCCCCACTTTACTGGAAAACTTTTACTCCCACCCCACCTAAATGTGTATATGCTACATCTTAAATATCTTTTTAGCTCTTCTATTCTTACCCATTTACATTGCTACTGCCTCCATTTAGGATTCGTAACTTCTTTCCTGGATTATTGCACAGCTTAAAAATTTGTCTTTACGTGCTTGCTTCGGGAGCACATATACTAAAATTGGAACAATACAGAGAAGATTAGCATGGCCCTGCGTAAGGATGACACGCAAATTCATGAAGCATTCCATATTTTTAATGAATTCTAATGCATTATGTTGTTACATATAACAAATTAAAATAAAAAGATAACATTCATATATTTTAAAAAATTGTCTTTACATTGGATCCATTCTATTCTCCAATCTATTCTTCACATCTGATTACTTTTTCAAAAAAAAATATATAGTCATATGTTTTTCTGCTTAGAGCTCCAATTCCTCCAACTGCTTTCAAAACAAATTTTAGGCCAAGTGCAATGGCACACATCTGTATTCCCAGCTACTTGGGAGGCTGAGACAGGAGGATCATAAATTCAAGGACAGCCTGGGTTGTTTAGGGAGACCCTTTCTCAAAACAAAAAAATATAAAGGGCTGGGGATATATTTCCATGATAGAGTACTCCTGGGTTCAACTTCCTATATTGCAAAGCAACCCCCCACCCCCCCACCCCGCCAAAAAACAAACAAATGTCAAGGTCCTTAATTTATCATATGAGGTTTATAGTCTGGCCTCTGGCTAAATCTTTAACCTAACTTGCTTGTTGTTGAAATATACTTGATAACTCTATCACAATGAAATGAGCAACCTGTGGTTCCTCAAATGTTATACCTCTATTTATTCCTTTACTTTTTTTTTTTTTTTTTTTTGGTACCAGGGATTGACTCAGAGGTACTCCATCACTGAGCCACATCCCCAGCCCAGCCCTCTTTTGTATTTTATTAAGAGACAAGGTCTCACTAGGTTGCTTAGCACCTTGCTTTTGCTGAGCTGGCTTTGAACTCACATCCTCCTCCCTCAACCTCCCAAGCCACTAGGATTATCAGGCATGCGCCACCATGCCTGGCATTCCTTTACTTTTGATATTCTGTCTACAATGCCATTCTTCTGTTCCTTGTCTTCCTAAATTCTCCTCCTCCTTCAAGACCCAACACAAGTGAAACCTCTGCTAGGAAGTGTTCCCCAATCCTATGATTTAGAAGCCAAATGTCTTTGTTTATATGAAATCTTATGTGCACTGCTAGACTAACACTTACCTTCTCTAACTAAATATTTCATACCCTTGTCTCCTCCTCACTATGTATTTTTTGAAGCTATGAACCTAATTTATCTTCATATTTAAGTGTACCTAACAACTTAAATTCAAAATGCCATTGGAGCTATCTTAAATGAGTTAACTATCAGTCACAGAAGAAATGCAACAAGTATAAATGCTATTGCTGCTTTCAGCCTACATTCAAGCTTTTGCTTTTAGTTTACTTCATGAGTATGTACAAATCTTTGACAGTCCTATCAAGGTTCTTCTGGATAAAGCCATAGCTTAAAGAAGAGACAGGTGGGTAAAGAGGAGGAGGAGGGGGAGGAGGAGGAGGAGAAGGAGAAAATTGGTTGAAGGGAAATAAGAATTAAAGGAATAGCTCTCATATTTAAAAGCAATATAGCAAACATTGACTCTTCCCAACTTTCAAACTTAGAAAGGTAGCCTAGTATCCTGCTTAAGAACATGGTCACTAGATTTAGACTGCCTGCACTGATTCTTAACTCTACCACATAACAGCTGTGTGAATGTAGTGTTGTGTTTAACTTGCTGTGTTGTCCATCTATAAAATAGAAATAATAAAAGTTCTTCACAAGATTGTTATGAGGTTCAATTGTGCAAATATAAATGGCAACATGTAAGTGTTTGATAGAATAAATAATCTAAGTGAAGATATACTTACCAGTTAGAGATAAAATGGGATTTCCTTTCTATAAATGCTGCAAAATGCATGTTCTCCAGTTGTAGACCATTTTATGTTTTTCTTCCATGCCCACCACCAAGCAGTCAACAATGGTCTCCATATGTCTGATTGGCTACTTGTTTCCTTCTCAGTATATTTCTTCAACTATATCTCTACAAAATCACTTTGGAACTTAGGAAACATTAAGAATTTTAAGCACTTTGGTATCTTGTATTGTAATCCAACAATTTAAGATCTTCTGTAATAATGTCATCTAATTAGCTTGTTTCCTTCCCTAACTTCCTCCTGGTTTCATTTTGAATTTTTTGTTAAATTCTTATTTAGAGTTCAGTGAGCCAAAACTAAAACTCATGGTCCTATAAAACCCAAGGGTAGAATTGAATCAATAGGAACTATTTAGGAAAATTGCCCAATCATTACTATGTCTCCATACCCCAGCCCCCGAAAAAAATTAGTTTTGTATTCAGTAGATCTAATTATCCCCTTTCAACTGATATAGTAACTGAGGTGGGAGAGATGATCTCACTTAAAGAATTCTCACTGAAGCATTCTTATATGTTCTTACAATTAGGGTGCAATGCTTCCATCTAGAATACAAGGTTCTTATGTGGTCATAGAAGCCTACCTCATAGAATCTCAGGGCTAGACACGGGCACAGTCTGTCACATGAAGAGTGAGTCTGCATGGACACAAAGAGGACCAGACCTTTCCGATCCTGGCTTTGATTTCCATTGTCATTGTTCCCTGTCCAATCTTCAGCTTTCTGGTTTTCTTCCCCTGGATTACTGCACCTTCTAATTTGCTTACCCCTAAAGTTCCTCTGCATCCTTCAAATGTTGATCCTTCAAAATGCCATTGGAGCTGTCTTAAATAGGATCGGATGCAGCTCTAGTGTGCAAATCTTGGCTTGCTCCTTATTAGTTGCAGAATGATCCCCTAAATCTTCAGAAGACATACGAGGCCATTCAAGAAAAGACAGCCTAAGATCTGGCTCAATTCCCCTTTCCAATGATCTCCCATCATAGCGTTTTTATCTTCCGCAGTATTCTACCCTCCTTCCCTGGATATTCCCTACCCCTTTTCCCACCATGTGCTGTACTCATGCTTTTTCTTCCACTCAGAATGTTCTCTCTTCCTGAATTCCAGTCGCAAGCCTACTCTATCAAATCCTGGTGTAAAGGTGTCCTCTTAAGAACTCTACTTGGCGTCTACTCATCCCTTGCCTTGTGACAGTCTGTTTCTTATGAGCTCCTGTTGCACTCTGTCCCCCATTGCCACACGCAGCACACACTGTTTCATGTTAAAGAGATTCACTCTTTGACACATCTCTTCTCCACTGTCTTGAGGCTCATTGAAAGCAAAAATTGGGTTACCCACCTCTGAACCTCAGCGCCAGGCAGAGCATTTTAGAACTATCTGAATCTGAAAAATGACATTTTAATTTGGAGATGTCCCTGAATATAACATTTTAGGAATAAACATTCCGATTTATCTGTAATGAACAATGTTCTTTCATGATTTACGGGATAGAGGATGAAACATGAAACAGTGAATTATTACACAATGTGGTTCTTGCCAAATCTAAACTCAGTAAAACTGTTTTGAAAGGAAACTCAGATTTATGTTCTTAATTACTGGATCAGCAATGACCATTTCTTGAGGGAAAAAAAATATAGTGAAATAGAGAACTTGCCAATTAGGACCCAATACATTTCCAAAATCACTCTTGTAGTAAATCGAAGGTCTGTCCACATTGGACTTATTTCAGCATCAACATATTAGCACAACAGAAGATGAGTCATTACTAAAATAATACAGCTTTTAAAAACCTACTTTTAGGGACACTATTTTATTTTAACAGTGTGCACCTTGGGGACTGAAAAGAAAAAGAACAAAACCCAGGGTTGTCAATATAATAAGCTCCCTTGAGAAGGCTTCTTCAGCAAGTTCTAAACATCTCCTCTTAATAATTCAGGGAAACCAAAAAAATCTCTAAACTCACAAACTGAAGAGCAGAAGTGAGCAATTATCTAGAAAATGGAAACATTAAAATTTACTTCCATTTTATGGCTTTATCAGTTTAAACATTTATTCCTTGAGGACAAGGCCCCTGCCTTGTGTTTGTATCTAACATAGACTCTAAACACTATCCTGAGACCACAGTAAGTCCTCATTTTACTTCCTACATGGTTAATTTTTTACTCCATAATGAAAAAAGTGGTGAATTCCTGCACTTCATATTCCAAGTGCAGACACAAAGGAATCTTCTTTTCTTTTAAATCTAAAATGTTGATAAATGGTCCATGTTATAGACTGAATTATACTCCCATCCATCTCATATGATGAAGCTCTAACCTCCAGTTCCTCAGAATGTGATTGTGTTTGGAAAGTCCACCTTGAAAAAGGTCAAGCTAAAATAACATTGTTATTGTGGGTCCTGGTCCTTATGACTGATGTCAAGTAAGAAGAGATTAGGTCAGAGATAACATACAAAGACCTTGTGAGGACAGAGAGAAGGCAGACACCTGCAAGCCATGGAGAGAGATCTGGGAAGAAGTAGCCCTGCCCACACCTTGATGTCTGGTTTTCAGCCTCCAGTTTTGAGAATATACAAATTTCTGTTGTTTACCTCCCAGCCTTTATGACCTGCAAACTAAGGTAGCCATTGAATAGGGAGAACTAGTTAAAAATTTTGTTATAAAAAGAGGTAACTGTAAACCTGGTCCTATGCTCAGAGACATAACATACATTTTCTCTCTCTTTTTTTTAACGTGTATTAAAATTTTATTTGTTTTAAATTTGTTCACATATGATGACTGACAGCTCAAGACATAACATACATTTTCTTGGCCCCTTTTTGTTATAAGAGAAGTTGAGAGAAAGCTTACTCTTCATTTTTAATCTTTACTACAAATTGTCACCAATTTGAGATTAAAAGAGAAGTTTCCAAAGGGGGAAAAAAATAAAAGGATTTTTAAAGGTATGGTATACAGGCTTTGGTAATATTGTGAGCAACCAATAAGGATAAGGATTCGATGAATTAATTGGCCAACTCGAAATCACACCATAATTACCAACCACAAGAGTGATGAACTCCTGCCAACCATTCCAAGTATTTTCTGTCTTGGGCAAGTTGGGAATGCATCAATTATGTGCCCTTGAGGGCATCTCCCACGTCTCGCCCCGCCCCCAGTTCCCCTGCCCCTTCCACCCGGTTCAGAAAGTAGGGAGCCCAAGTCGAAACACTTTATGCTGCAATGAGTTAAAGCCAAAATCTGGGACAAAATTGAGGCAGCTCGGTAATGTTAAGAACAGGCAAAGGGGTTTTCTATCTGCCCCGCCTCCCTCAGACCCCACCCAGGTGGACACCGCGCCTCCCCCATCCGCGCTCTCCCCGAGACCCTCCTGCCGGGGAGCGGGTGGAAAGATTCTCTCCTACCTCCCTACAAATGTTAATCTCCAGATTTTCCAAACAAACCGCGCGTCACTTTCTCGGATGGCTCGGAACTCCCCGCAGCGCTGATCCGAAAACAACGCGCGTCCTGTGTCCATAGAAACAGTTTCGAGAGCTCGTCCCCTCTCAAAAGTCTTGAGACGTTTGCCCGCATACTTTTGTCACTAAAGGCCAAAGTGATTCACCAAATACTCATGGGCCTAAAGCCGATTATGCTGAAGGAGTGGAAAGAAGAGAGGTCAGGAAGAAAGAAGAGCAAGGGAAAAGAACTGAGGGACAGTTAACGTTGCTCCTCTCTATTGTCACTTCTTCCTCTTGTATTTTCCTGGAAAGGCAGAATTTCAAAAAGAAGAGTAAATATACAGCTTGCAGGTTCAATGGAGGTCGATAGCCTATCTTTGAATAGTTGATAGGATATGTTTTTTCATGACTGAGGAAGTGAAAAAAGAATATATCTTATTCACAAGGCCAAGAAAGCACCCATCTAATTAGTATTATATAAATTGTATAGCAGGTGTGGGGACACCCACACACACACACCACAGAATCATAATACCAAACGGACTGACTTGAAAACACCTTCTATTTGATCAACAATAACAGGAAATTTCTGTAAAATATCAGTTACATTTTTACTCAAGAGTTATCTTGGTAAGCATTTTAAGAATATACCTTGTCTGATACATCAAAACAAAAATAAAAAAAGAAAAGTTTTTTAAAATAGCATTAATTACCAAAAAAATAAGTCAGCACTAGTGGCGATGCAAGAAACTTGGCCAAAAAAAAAAAAAGTGTGTTTGTGGATCTGTAGTAATCAAAATTTGACAGGGCTGGGAATGTTGAGGCCCTGATTCTGGGAATTCAACAAATGAGATTGGGACTCTTGCCCCAAAAAACAAACAGAAAAAGTAATTGTGAAAAGCATGAAAGAAACTTTAATCAGTGTAGTTATCCTGGGAGACAAGGGAAACTGTGTCCTTATCACTGTTATCCAGGGGCTGACAATGACTTTGAGATCTTGTAGAAAGGAGAATAAGGTCAAGGATTGGGTGTTTGCACAGCTGGAGGCTTTTCTTCCAGCTGCTGATGCAGATGATATTGGTAGATGATCTTGGTCAGTAGTGGTCTCCATCTTTATCTTAGGATTTGGCTATCAGGCTCTTGTCACTATGAGAAAATTGCTGTTGCCTTGTACATAGTTTTGACTCTTGTCACAAGATATTTATCCATCAGACTTGTTATTCTGGAATTTAAAGTGACTCAGACTATAGGAAATAGATATAAAATGGAGGCAGAGATGCTAAGTCTTTAATCCTGCTTTTAATTACCTATCAGACAGTTGTAGGCAAAAGTGAAAAGTTTAAGTCTTTGTTTCAGGTTCAATCCCCATCTCTCTCTCTCTCTCTCTCTCTCTCTCTCTCTCTCTCTCTCTCTCTCTCTCACACACACACACACACACACACACAACTACAAGTTGCTAGTCATAATGCATAAAAAAAAAATGGAATCAGTTTCTTTCACATACTTAATGTATAAAAATACAATAGTAAAAAGTATAAGGTAGTTTGATTCTATAAATTAAAAAAAACTATATTCATTTAAGAACAATAATTTGTACAGAATTGGTAACTACAATGTAGTTGATTGTGGTAATTTGCCTAAGATTATTATGCCTTCAGCTCATAAATTGATACAGAGATGAAATTAACCTCTTCTTTTTTCCTTCCTTCCTTCCTTCCTTCCTTCCTTCCTTCCTTCCTTCCTTCCATACCAGGGATTAAACCCAGGGATGCTTAACCACTGAGACATAACCCCAGACCTTTTTTTATTTTTTTAATTTTGAGACAGGATCTCACTAAGTTGCTTAGGGCCTCACTAAGTTGCTGAGGCTGGCTTTGAACTTGTGATCCTCCTGCCTCTGCCTCCCGAGCTTCTGGTATTACAGACATGTACCACTGCACCCGACAAAATTAGCTTCTTAAAGGAAAATTAAGGTAAAAATGTTAGCTACTCATCACTCTGTAGTCAGTAAAATTTATAAAGCGTGAATCTTATATAAAAATCTTAGAATATTGTCATTTTCTTAATTAATATTTACAGAACATGTACTATGTGCCAGATATTTGGCTAAAAAAAATTTAAAAAATAATATGACACTAGACATCTATCTGCTTTCTCAGAACTATTTCTGCACCACCAAGGCCACCTTTGTGGAGTTCAGCACCAAAGCCAAGATGCCCATTTTGGGTCTGGGCACCTGAAGTGTACTCCAGTCAAAATCAAAGAAGGTGTGAAGGTGGACACTGATGCAGAATATCTCCAGATAGATTGTATATGCATCTATTAGAATGAGAATGAGGTGGGAGAAGCCATTCAAGATCCAAGAGAAGGTTATACCATAGGAAGACCTCTTCATTCTTAGAAAGTTGTGGTATACCTTCTTTGAGAGAAACCTCGGGAAGGAAGCCTGTCAGAAGACCTTCAAGGATCTAAAACTGGACTGTCAGAACATCTGTCTTATTCACTGGCCACAGGGATTTCAGCCTGGGAAGGAGTTATTCCCCAAAGATGATAAAGGCAATAGCCTCATCAGTATATTAACATTCTTGGATGCCTGGAAGGTCGTGGAGGAGCTGGTAAATGAGGGATTGGTGACAGCCCTTGGTGTCTTCTACTTCAATCACTTTCATCTTGTGCAAGCCTGGACTCAGACCTGAACCAGTGACTACTCAGGTCGTGTGTCACCCATATCTCACCCAGGAGAAACTGATCCTGTACTGCCACTCCCAGGACATTGCTATATCAGTCTAGGACTCCCTGGGCTCTCCAGATAGCCCTTGGCCCAAGCCAAAATACTCTTCACTTCTCGAGAATGCCGGTTAAAGAGATTGTTACAAAGAAAAAAAAATTCCCTGGCCCTGTTGGGAAAAGTATAAACGGCAGCCATACCCCAGAGAAAAAACCCCAACATGGCGCCTAAGCACCTCTTCTTCCTATCTTCTTCTTTTCTGCAGTGGCGCGAAAAGTTCCCGCCCGTGTGAACTCTCCCGCCGGCGCCAATTTCAAATCTCTCTGGCGGGGAATCTTAGCCCCAATGAGAATTAATTCCTGGGCTCCGGAGCTGATATCTGAAAGAACTTGCCAATGAACGGTTGCCTGCCATTTATCTAAGCCCTACCATCTCCCCCTTAGTTCTATATAAGCACACTGCTTTTTGCAATAAAATTGGAATTCTCCCGGCGAAGTGTCTTTGCGTGGGGAATTCTTTCAGGCCCAGATTCTGATCTTGTTCTAGATCCAGAGGCACATGGTGGTGATTCCCAAGTCTGTGACATGGACATGCTTTGTTCAGAACTTTCAGGTCATTGACTTCAAATTGAGTGATGAGGAGATGGCATCATTGTCAGCTTCAACAGAAACTAGAAGGGTCTGTGTCCTGGCTGACTAGGCTTTTTTGGTGGAATATCCCTTCAATATCAAATACTGCAGCTCAACTTCCTGAGGGGATTATTTGGTGGATTCTTCTCTTCACTGAAGTGGATATGGCTCCCCCTGAGCCCTAGTGTAGCTAAGCTTATGTGAAATACTGTGTCCAAACTTGTCATAGTTCAGAATCTAGGCAAGGTTTCTTTTTAAGTTTTTTATTGGTGTATTATAATTATACATAATAGTTGGATTTGTACATGCACATAAATTGTTCAATCTCCTTCCCTATACTATTCCTTTCCCCTTTCTTCCTCCCTCCCCCTAGGCAAGGTTTTATTTAGATCCACATTAAACCAAGAGAACACTATCACAGGAAAGTATGACTCAAATGAGCAAATGACAATTTCTTCCACTTAATTTTGATCTGATCAAATGTTAAACATCCAGAATTCTGATAACACTACAAAGATTAAAAGAATTTTAAAAAGATAATAAAAATTAATAATATCTCATTTCAGCCTTCATTTTCACTAATCCTTAATCCCCAACTAGTACCTATGGAAAATGTATTTATCTTTAGTTTTAGAAATCATTGTCACAGCATTTTTGGTTGAAAGGTGACCCCAGCAAGCCATTGAGATGATAATGATTATGTTAAGATGCGCATTCAATTGGAGATTAGACCCCTGCTGTCTGATTAGGCCTACCTGCTACTTTGGAGCTCTCACGGGACTCCCAGAGAGTTCCCATTGGTTGGGGAAGTGCGGTAGGAGGGAATTCCGGAGGAGGGATTTCCTGTTGGAGTAGTGTGTCCGGGGAGGAGCCACGTGGTATGGTTCGGCATTTTTTCCCGGGAGTGTGTGTGGAGCGTGCTGGTGGAGTTCAGAAATAAAGTTTGTTCCTGCGTCAGTGGCTCGTGATTTGTGCCCAGCCAGACTGCAGCACTTCTCAAGACTGTCATTACTTTTGCCACCAAGTTCAGGGTTCTCAAACCCTGACTAGAGCCCTCAGGTTTGACAATTCACCAGAAAGACTCACAGAAATCATTGAAAGCTGTTATATTTAGGATTATAGTTAATTGCAAAAAAGGACACAAATGAGAATCAGCCAAGGGAGGAGGCTCATAGGGCAAAGATCATTGAGTGTGCTGTAGAAGTACCAAGCACGGAGTTTCCCTCAAGCTCCTTCGGTGGAGTCAGGACAACTGGCTGTCCCAGAATTGTCATGCGACCAGGGAAACTCACCTGAAGGTTACAAAAGTTTTTAGTGGGATTTCATCACAAAGTCCTGATTAGTTGATTCCTCACATGGTTAATGAGTTTCTAGGTTGACTGATATCATGTGACCAAAGCCCTCACCTTAAGTCACACTATTCATCTTTCTGCAGTGGCCAGTCCCCTCCCTAAGATTGTGCAGGTG